GGGAGGGGGGAAGGGGAAGATGGGGGGGGGAAGGGGGAGGGGGGATCAAAATGAAGAATAAACAACTGAAGTTACAGAACGGGAAAATATGACATGCGCACATCGCGATGAAACAGAAAAGGAGACCCGTCCAGGAACAAAGACATCCTCGAAATCGCTGCCGAGAAAACCCGGAGAGCTCACTCACCTTTCAATAAGGTCCATTGCCTCATATGACATATCCTCAGGCACTTTTGGCCACCAAATGTGGCGATTCAGAATGTTGTCAAAGATACCCTGCCATAGTCACAGGATGTATCACCCCAAATCAGATTGATCATTGATGGCATTTCCTTTTTTTTTCTTTTTTTTTTCATTGATGACATTTCCGTACTGGTCCTTTTTTTTTTGGTGGAAACAGGTCCTTATGGTCCTGGCTCCTGGTCCGTTCTGGGGAGCGTCCGTCCGGGTCCTATTCTCCCGTCAAGTCGAGAATGAATTACACGGTATACACACTCAGGCTCCACACTAGGGCCTGTCGGTCAAAGCTTGACGTAACAAAAAAGAGAAGAGACGGTTTCCATCCTGTGCTTGTTGTATTTGGGTTCTGAGTTCCCCCTGCTGCCAATGCTTCATGTCCTCCTTGTAGGTTCGTTGCCTTGTGGTTCTGCCTGATACCACTTCTTCCATATCAGCCTGTTCTTTGTTATGCTCTCGATCTTGCCCCTTTACCACCCATCAGCTCAGGAAAGCTCGTCTTTTGATTGCGTACTTCTCTTTGACCTATACTTTGTTGACGAGGTTATCTTTCGCCATCTGCTTCGGATTTCAGTTCCCACCATCTTTAGCAGAAACTCCACTCCGTACTTCAAAAAGAAAAAGAAAAAGAAAAAGAAAAAGAAAAAGAAAAAAGAAGCAGCAGTAACTCCATACTGGTCCTTTCCGAACCAAAATGTCATAAATAGGGTCCGACAGACAGTGGACTTCTGCCTGTCCCCTCCTTAGGATTCCGAACCAACAAAGCATACGACTGACAGTGGCGGATGTGTACTACTGTGTACTACTGTGTACACACACTAAGAGGAAGATGGATGTGGAACAACTTTCCAGTCAGGTTCCGCCGTTCACCTTCCAGTGGATGTGAAAGACCTCAATAATCCACCCCGCCACATTTGTTAGGATGTGAATTCCACTGAAAGGCGCCGATCTTGACCCAGCCCCTCTTTTCTGTGTTTTGGTTGGTTGGTTGAAAACTTGAAATCACAATGACCCCTAACAGTCCCAAGAACACTGTTGCACCCCACCCAATACATCCATCAGAGAATGACAGAAAAGACACATCTTGACATCTGCATCAGCACATAGTGTGACATACTCGATGACTCTGCATGCAGTTCGGAAAAAACGTTCGGAAATCGGAAATCCACTTCTTCGGATCTATGATTTGTCAGTTTCCCTTCTTCCTCCGCTGTAGGTTGATCAGACCTACATACAGTGGACCACCACTCCATATGTAATTTACCAATTTACCACTTTAGTAATTTACCAATTTAGTAATTTACCAATTTCCGTACAATTTTTATGTCCTCTTTTGGCAACACAAAAAGGTCATACGAGGTGTTTCATCGAGTAAATCCCTACACTTAAAAAAATCGCTAATGTCAGAATTCTGAAATCCGGGCCGTCTTTGGACCTACCGGCCCCAAGGTCCGGATTGGACCCCGATCTTAGATCTTTAAGACCGCGCGGCGATCCAGGCCGTTCGCGGTTGCACCTGCCCGACGACCCAGATCGCCCCGCGATCTTAAAGTTTTAAGATCGCGGGCGAATCCGGGCCGTCGGGCCATTTACGGCCGGATCGCTGCGGTGCCTTGGGGAGTTCGGTCCGAAAGGACCATTGGCGGGCGGGCGGGAAAACTACGGCCCTACGTGACGCGACCACGCTACACTACGCGACGCGACCTACGCTACGTGACCTACCTACTCGACGCGACCTACACTACGCGACGCGAACCACCTACGCTACGCGACCTACCTACTCGACGCGACCTACCTACGCTACGTGACCTACGCTACGCGACGCGACCTACCTACGCAACGACCTGCGCTACGCGTCCTCTCTCTCTCTCTCTCTCTCTTTCTCTCTCTCTCTCTCTCGGACTGTGCTCTTTGGTGCTCGGTGCTCATCGTGGATCCATGCTTCTCTCTCTCTCTCTCTCTCTCTCTCTCTCTCTCTCTCTCTCTCTCTCTCTCGGACTGTGCTCTTTGGTGCTCGGTGCTCATCGTGGATCCGTGCTTTTCGTCACGTGCTGATCATGGAACCGTGCTTTTCGTCACTTGCTGATCGTGGAACCGTGCTTTGGTGCATGATCACGTGCTGATTGTGGATCCGTGCTTTTCTTTGGTGCATGGCGCTCATCGTCAATCCATGCTTTTGGTGCTGGGTGCTCATCGTGGATACGTGGTTTTCGTGCTCATCGTGGATCCGTGCTTTTCTTTGGTGCATGATCACGTGCTCATCGTCAATCCGTGCTTTTGGTGCTGGGTGCTCATCGTGGATACGTGGTTTTCGTGCTCATCGTGGATCCGTGCTTTTCTTTGGTGCATGATCACGTGCTCATCATCGATCCGTGCTTTTCGTGCTCATCGTGGATCCGTGCTTTTCTT